AAGGGTATGCCAAGTTGCAAAACCAGTAAAGCTTGAACATCTTATCGGTAGCACAGGTTAGGCCCTCACTGCAACGTTGTCATTCTTTGTGAGGACCATGTACTGGCAGGTTGGTCCGTTAGGATGACCAAGGCACACCAGCTAGGGTTGTTGGATTTTCTCGGACGTCTCAGAATTCTCGTAGAGTGAAGGGATGCTAGTTCCAGGCTGGAAAACATAAACAAAATGTATTTAAAATACTACATGAGATAAACTAAAACATAATTATTGTTTCAATTACAAACAAAAAGATCATAAACAACTTCTACAGTATGTGAGAGACACTCAGACACACAAACACTGAAAGAGACAGACAGAAATCAAACACACACAGAGAGCGAGAGAGATATAGAGAGAGAGATATATAGAGCGAGAGAGAGATAGAGAGAGATAGAGAGAGAGAGAGAGGAGAGAGATAGAGATAAATAGCTATCTGTCATTTCACCCCCTGTTCGCTGGTGGTCCGGGGGCATCACTTGGCTTGAACTTCTGCGTGTATCGTCTTTGGTCATCCTGAAGAGTCCTCCGGAGGTTCCTAAGTTTTAGCTCTATAAATCCATTGTTGGATTATGGATCGTAGAAGTGTTCCTGGACAAGGGTTGAACAAAGGGGCATAAATAATATGCTTTCATTGACATAAGCTATTAAAGCTGCAAAACTGCTATCAATGAGAATGATAGATCTATACTCGCATTTCTATCTGAAATCTGTCGGGTTTTTTCAAAACTTATTTTCAATAAATCAATGAAGATGAAAACATGTTCTTAAATCTATATCAGTGTAATTCAGTAAATGGGGCATCACTTACAAATCCTTCATTCTGCCTCAGGGGGGGATCTGAACCCTACTTTGAAACAAAAGTATAGACCTCACACACATGGTTTGAAAAAAAAGAAGACACCTGTACCATGTCAGATATACAGTTGAAATGTATTCAATTTTGAGTTTGCATCCAAATATTATACTTTGTATACATGACAGAAGACTGAAATATAACAAAACCGTTTGACATAGAAACACATGATTTAAAAAAAATTATGTTGATTAATTATGAAATTCTGAAACATATTAATAACATTCCACCCATGAGGCCTCTACTGCAGGAAAGGGGTCTACCCCCCAGACCAGAGGATGCCCACGTTTTTGGACTTGGTGGGCAGAAATGTAATTTCAGTAATCAGATGCGGCCCACACTTTGGTCAGCCCTGCTCTAAACAAATGTGTGCCGGAAGTCTGATAATCTGCCAATATGCTTAGGGGCCTTCCTTTAAATCAGTCCAGCATCAACCAGCCCTCCACCAACCTGGACAGGCAGAAAACAGAGTGAAATGTAAAACTATGAATCATTCACAATGGCAGAATTATAAGTACAATAACTACAATTACAAACAAAAAATTATCAGAGGGATCCACAACCACAGAGACACTGACAGACAGAGATAGGTAGATACAGACACACACAGAAAGAAGGAGACAAAGACATCAGAGAGGGGCATCAGACAACTGGACAAACCGTTTGAGTCTGTGATCTGTTGGCTGTCTGGTTGACTTGAAGAAGATTATAAATGTATCACAATCTTTGATGTCTGTATTGGAGTCTGCATTAATAAAGTCATGATATTAAAGTCTACATTGTATTTCAAAAATCTGTCCAACTCTATGGTGCAAGGCACTTGAGATTTGCTTGCATCTATTATTTCAGCAGCATTGTAGAGTTGAAATATCATCTTGCAGATCTCCCTGGAATATTGTCACAAGGGTCTTTACTACGGCCTCTTCCATTTGCTACAGTAGGTACAAAATTAATAATTGTGTAACTTGTTTTGTTGCAACTGGATGGAAAATTATCACATATTACAAAGAAGACTTTTTTGGACACATCTGTTTTGATTTTATTTATTAGTATCCCCATTATCATGGATTCACATACAGAACTGATGTCCTCTCTCAATGACAGATTGCTGTCATCTTGCCGTTCTCCTGTTTAAACTCATCGAGCTGACCCTGGGAGAACTGCAAACTGTTCTTCAGGTCCTGGACCTCTCTGGTCAGGTCGTCCATTCTTTTATTAGTTGACTCCACCAGTATTTGGACAAAACACTTCAAGCAATTTTTTTTTTTTGTAGCAACTGCTTGTAGAACTATTTTTGTTCACAGAAATTATATTTAGAGACTAAATTGTAATTAGGAATTAATAAGTAACTAAACCATTCCCAACAAGGCTACGCATCATGAATAATTATATATGTGTTCAAATGTATTTGTTTTTATTTAAGTTTAGGCCCAAGTAATTTTTATAGTTTGGACTAAAGTATTTTATTTTATTAAAAAAGGTTAGGCACTACTGATCACAGATTACACAAAGCACTTATGAGGAAGCGTTTTCCCCTCTGGCTAGCTCACTACATTAAAATGATACTTCCACAAAATGGCAAAATGCTGATTATCACTATTCTCAAGCACACTTGGCTCTTGGTGGTTTGGGTATTTGTATTTGTTTTGTCAAGCTACATTTCGAGTACAGTAGCTAGCAAACTACTAACTACCTAACCTTTACCTTTCAGATAATTAGGTTATCAGAAAAACAGCTGAATGGTTGCTAGCTAGAATATTTACACCTACTCTTCTGCTTGAAACGATTTTGGAACCAATTATCCACAGTTGCTAATAGTTACCAGTAGCTACCTGGCTACGGATAGCCAGGGGCACGCTCCAACACTCAGACATAATTTACAAACAAAGCATGTGTTTAGAGAGTCCGCCAGATCAGAGGCAGTAGGGATGACCAGGGATGTTCTCTTGACATGTGTGTGAATTAGACAATTTTCCTACCCTGCTAAGCATTCAAAATGTAACGAGTACTTTTGGGTGTCAGGGAAAATGTAAGGAGTAAAAAGTATATAATTATCTTTAGGAATGTAGTGAAGTAAAAGTAAAAGTTGTCAAAAATATAAATAGTAAAGTAAAGTACAGATATCCCAAAAAACTACTTAAGTAGTACTTTCAAGTATTTTTGCTTAAGTACTTTACACCACTGGCAACTTATTATGTGACTTGTTAAGCACATTTCTACTCCTTAACTTATTTAGGCTTGCCATAACAAAGGGGTTGAATAGTTATTGACTCAAGACATTTCAGTTTTTCCTTTTTAATTAATAATTATATTTTTAAAGATAATTCCATTTTGACATTATTGGGTATTTTGTGTAGGGCAGTGACACAAAATCTCAATCTAATCGATTTTAAATTCAGGCTGTAACACAACAAAATTTGGAAAAAGTAAAGGGTGTAAATACTTTCTGAAGGCTGTATCTCTGTCTCTGTCTCTCTGCTGAAACTATGAGTGGAAATCTGCTAGGTGAATCCTCACACTTTTACAGTTATGTCCATCTGGTATCTACCAGTGTCTGGTAGGTAGGTATGTCCTCAAAGAGAGGAACAGAAACATCCAGTTATACTACAGAGGAGTCTCTACACTACATCCTCTTCTTTCCCCTACCCCCCAACACCTACCCCAACCCCAGATAGCTCCCTTTGCTCTCTCCTCTCCTCCCTTCAGATATCTGGTCTCTGCTCTCCCCTCCCTCCAGGCAACCTCTGCACTCTGCTATCTCTTTCTCTCTGCTCTCTCTCTTCCTCTCCCCCTTTGTACCATCTACATCAGTGACAGTACAACAGTATGAGGAGAAAGCTGCTAACACCCTCTTGTGGAGTAGAACTTGTTCACTCTGCTTTTTAAATGTGTATGGTCATATTTGCTCCGGTAAGTAGTTTTTTCTTTCATATTTGGAATGTGGGTAATTTATTTTCATTCTTAAGTACATTCCTGGTTAAACACTATAATAAAGCATTATAATTATCCAGTTATGAGGTATGGATGTGTTCTATGGTAGAAGGAGACAAAGACATCAGAGAGGGGCATCAGACAACTGGACAAACCGTTTGAGTCTGTGATCTGTTGGCATACATCTGTTTTTAAAATATTTTTTTTTCAATTTCAATTTAGTTTGTAGGGAATATTATTTATGTTTAGTGGGTGGAATGTTATCAAACGTTGTTTCCAGGGGTGTCTTTTAGTGTGTGTGTGCGTGTACCTGTGTGTGTGTCATGTACAGTATTCCAACAGGTTGAGTCACTCTATGGGGCTCTGCCCACCCTTTAACCCACAGTAGGTGACTCTTTGTTTGCAGTCAGTCCATTTCTAAATTATTCAGTTGTTTTCATAATAATCCCAAACCTGGATCATCATTCTGCTTAATAGATATGGTGCCAAGATTAGGGCTCAAATAAATACGCAGCGCTGAAGTTCAGCATTATAGTGCGATTTAAATTTAAATGTAGTTTCCGATTGAACCGACACATCTAGTGTTTACCGTGAATGCAGTTTCCGCTAACATTGCCTTTAAATGTCAATCACTCTACAACGCAGCTCTTCAGTGCTAAGGATTGAATCGAGCCCTAGCTTTCATCTACCACCTCTCTCTCTCTAATGTGTCATTAATGATCAGAATAATTTAGAATGCATCCTTTTCCCATTTGAATATTAATGAGTGAATGACCAGGTGGTTTGCAGAAAACAGACAGATCAATCCTTCTATAAATCCATCCAATCACTGACTTTTAATTATAGCCACACATACTTAATTAGATGTGGTATCCTGGCTGTATGTTATCCCTTTCAGGAACTCTCTCTGTCTCTGTCTGTCTGTCTGTCTCTCTCTCTCTCTCTCTCTCTCTCTCTCTCTCTCTCTCTCTCTCTCTCTCTCTCTCTCTCTCTCTCTCTCTCTCTCTCTCTCTCTCTGTCTCTCTGTCTCTCTCTCTCTGTCTCTGTCTTGCCCCTGTCAATCTCTCTCTTTCTAATAGATAAACAAACCCACACAAACAAACACAACAAACAAACATAACATTTTCATCAGAGAGATGAGTTTTGTTGTCTTTCTAAATTATGATAAAGGCTAAATATGATGGCTAATTACTTGGTGTGTGTGTGTGCACGTGCGTGGGAGTACTAGGTCTTGATTAGAATTGACCAATGCTTCAGTCCTTTCACAGGCGTCAAAGTCAGATAACAAAAATAGATTAGTGCCAGTAGCCTACAGTATCTGACTGCCTGCCATGCCCACGGACGGATCCTGAAAAAACGGTACCACATGCTGATGTCAGTCTCCCACAATCACTGACAGACGTTATAGACAAATCATCCCTTTGAAAGATTTGCATGCCGTATAGACTCCCAATATAGATCAATACAGAGATATAAAATGAATTCACCTGTTTGCATTCATCAACAGCAGTTGAAGCTCTGACAAACACAGAGTGACTTAATAAACCTAAGCGATACTGGCAAGAGCAGGTTTTCTTTTCTTTAAGGATCGATCAACAGTCCCACGTTGACAAAACCTAAAGACAACCAACTGTAAAACTCCTTCCAACATATACTGTATCCACACCATATGCCATATTACACATACGTTCCCTAATTACTTTCACAGAGTCAGCCTCTGTCTGGGTGTTGATATAGATGGTCCACTGTGGCCCATTAATTCCAGCTTCTGGTCTAGCAGCTCTGTAGAGGACCAGACAGGAGAGGTGAGACCAGGAGCAACTATGGGTGCATTCCAACTGGTACCCTATTCCCTATGTAGTGCACTATTTTTTACCAGGCCAAGGGCTCTGGTCGAAAGTTGTTCGCTATGTAGGGAATATGGTGCAATTTTGGGACACAGCCTGTGTCTAGAATGCTCAATGGGTAGCAGTCTAATGAGGTATTTTCTTTTTGTTTTCCAAGATCTTTGCCGTCTGTGCATTTGCAACATGTGGAGGATACTCTGGTCACCTGCGGGTTAAAGTGGAATGTCTAGACAAGAGCCAGAGCAACCTCAGCATCACCGTAAACTTTGCCTATCCCTTCAGGTAATACATGCTGACATGTTTTTCCACAGTCTGACTACTATACTTGTACCCATTTTATTGTGGTTCATGGTCAAAATTCTCCAAAACATGAATTCAACAGAATTTACATTGAAATACACTACAGTCATGTGCAAACTGGAGCAGAAGGCTCATACCATTGTCACATGTCCTTTCTCACACATGGGTATGTCACGTTGAGAGACAAGTCACATTTATCCAGATAAATGCTCTACAACACCTGACTAAGAGACATTCTCTAATCTACTGTGCATGTGGGGATACAGCCTTGATGAGACAATGATAGTGTTGTTTTCTGCCTGTGAATGTGTTTTGAAAGATAGGGTGGCAATGTGGTGGCTGAGTTTTATTTTTCATCTAGAAAAGATGGATGAAAAAGAAAACAACATTGAGTTGATGAAATATGGAGCTGTCAGACAGACAGTGGTGTCAGAGTCGTTGTCTGACCCCCAGAAGTTAAAAAAAATGGCTATGTGATGTCTCTATTGCACAAAAATAGGCGTATTGTAGCCTACCCATACTGTAAAATATTTTAAATAGGCTACTGGTCTGTTTGCTTTCCAGCATGCTTGTCTATTGGAGCGATGGACAAATGGGAGCCTAATATTTGCTGTGTAGCAGGAATAAACCCCATCATGTCAGAAAATATGATTATGATTTAGGCCTATATAATACAATTAAAAGAAACATATTACGCTATACATGCTGTCATGCAACATCCTTACCAACGGCAAATGCATCGATATTATCATAGGCTTACGCTCTAATGTTTTGATTATCAAACCATAATTCCCGTGTGTCAAACACCTCCATTTTCCCCAAATTAACAATAGAAGCATGTAATACAATTCTTCAACCACTAGACGTGCAAACGCATGGTCTGAGCTGTGCATGGAGATACGCACACTTACCCGTCAACTTCAAAATGGATAAATACCAACCTTTGTGGGAAACCTGGCGCATGCAAGGTTTAGTCTCTTTTTGTGTGCAAACACCTTTGATAAATGAGGCCCCTAGAGATCAGTGGAAAGATGTATAATTGAGACTCCTGAGCATCATGTGGTGACTCTGAGGAATACATATACCCCTATCTCCTTAGATGTGTCTTCTCTCTCTCCCCTCTCCCCCTTTCTCTTCTCCCGCCCTCCCTCCCTCCCTCCCTCCCTCCATCCCTCTCTCCCTCCATCCCTCTCAAAGCCTGTCAAATCAGGTCAGATCCCATTAGTAATGGAAGGATTTCACCTCCAACCTAGTAACGAAATAACGTCTTTGTTGTTGTAATTTCACAAATGGATCTGGCAGTTTCACTGCTAAGTTTTAAATTACTTACACTGTGATCAGAGCCTTGCATTACTCAATTAAAGTTTTTAACTGTGACCATGTTCCTTGTTCCTGTCATCTAATAGGTTACAGCAGATCCATTTCAAGCCCACACTGTGTGAGGGGAACAGACAGGAGACCATCTTCCTGGTAGGAGACTACTCCTCCTCAGCTCAGTTCTTTGTGACTGTGGCAGTCATTGCCTTCCTCTACTCCCTGCTGGCCACCGTGGTGTACATCTACTACCAGAACAAGTACCGCGAGGGTAACAGAGGGCCACTGGTGGTGAGTTGATTTATTTATCAAGAGCTGCCTTTGGTTCATTCATGCCATGGGATTTGTATAATTTATGTGTGTATTAATTGAGATACATTACATTTAATAATTTACAGGGCAAGTGTAGCTTAGCATATAAAGAAATGTGATTCAAGATGATTACCTATGAAAGGTGTGTGTTACTGCTGTTACTCCTGCTGTTACTCTTGCTGTTACTCCTGCTGTTACTCCTGATGTTACTCCTGCTGTTACTCCTGCTGTTACTCATGATGTTACTCCTGCTGTTACTCCTGCTGTTACTCCTGCTGTTACTCCTGATGTTACTCCTGATGTTAGTCCTGCCTTTTTGTCCCATATCCCTTTAAATTTCATTTATAACTTCACCCTATTCTCTTCCTCAACTCTCACAATCTCATTAAATCTGATAATAACCTCCTCCATCTCTCCCTCCTAACCAGGACTTTGTAGTGACCGTGCTCTTCGCCTTCATGTGGTTGGTAAGCTCCTGTGCCTGGGCCAAAGCTCTGTCTGATGTGAAGTCAGCCACAGATCCCACCCAGGTCCTCCTGCTCATCTCCGCCTGCAGACGCCCAGCCAACCGGTGTTCAGCTTCCCACCACCCAGTCTGGTCTGAGCTCAACACGTCTGTGGTGAGTCATTGGTTGCATCCCTAATGGCACCCTATTCTCTATATAGTGCACTACTTTAGACCAGAGCTCTATGGGTCCTAGTCAAAAGTAGTGCACGTTATATGGCAGGGGTATTCAACTCTTACACTACGAGGTCCGGAGCCTGCTGGTTTTCTGTTCTACCTGATAACTAATTGCACCCACCTGGTGTCCTAGGTCTAAAACAATCATTTTCTGATTCTGAATCTGTCATTTTTATGTTTAGACCCAAACTCTAAATACCCTCTTTCTATACCTCTATGCAGGTCTTTGGTTTTGTAAACTTTATCCTCTGGGCCGGCAACATCTGGTTTGTTTTCAAAGAGACAGGCTGGTACAAGACAGGCCAGAGGTACCCAATGAGAAGCGCCTCTGAGAGACGGGCCAATGGGATGAGCCAACGACTCTTCAGCCAGAGCAGTTTCGACCAATCAGGGGACAGCTTCTATCGTCACCCAAACAGGCAGGCTAGTTTCGACCAATCACGGGAGAGCTTTGGCCAGCAACACTACAGCCAAGGCAGCTTCAACCAATCAATGGGTAGCTTACGCTTGCCGCAGACCAGTCTAGGACAGCCAATCATCATCAGTCAGGGGGATGTCAACTCTAAAGGGCCTAATCCTATCATATGTATCAATGACATTTAGATCACATTTCATATACATTTTGCCCTCATCTACTTACCCTCACAAACTTGACTAGATCTGAAAATACTATTGTATATTGATACCTGACCATAAGGTATAGGAATAAGCCATGTATATTTTCTGATGTGAAGTTTACAAGGGCCAGTGGACGAGGTTGTAATTATTAAGGGGGTGGACTGTAAGAGGGAAATAAGATAGTGTAGTAAAAGGGAAGTAAGGGGTATTTAGCAAGTGAGTTTTTAAGAGGTGATCGGAGTGGATTGGAGATATGGGGATGTGCTACCGAAATCAATTAGATATGGGGATGCGCTACCGAAATCAACGAATAGCGGGAAACAACGCAATCGTACATTACACATTCTCAGCATGCAAAAATAGAGTATGTGAATTTTAGGAAATTGAGTATGGTTTAAATGCCAGGATATTATACTCATTTCGGCTCTTCATCTAGTAAAATTCGATGCACACTTTTCCACAATGCATTGGAAGAGGTGGGCTGCGAGTGACAGGCCCTAGTTCTCTTCAAGATGCCAAACAACAAAACTAGGCTACTTAATTGGAAAGAGACCGAATAGCGAAGCTTCTGCGATGGTGTTCAAATGTAGGCTAAGTAGTTTTTGTTCTCCTTAAAATGATCACCAGTATTGCATTGTAGGTTACATCTTTGAAAACAGACATTTTCTTCTCATTGAAAAGTGTTTCTTGTTCTCTTGGCCTTCATTAAACGAAATAGTCTACTTTTTTTTATTCTGAATGTGTCTGCACCGTGGACTCTGGATGTGGCTGTGTTATTGATGTCACGTTAATCAGGCCTTTTGATTTGAACATATGGATTGTTTGTTTTTTAAGGTAGGCTTCCTATAAAACCTTTTTATTTATGGATCAAGCCTCGTTCCCAATGATCAGTACTTTAGTTTATTATGTTACTGTCCAGCAGTTCTGAATTTGCGATGTACCCGACTGTCCATGTTTCTCTGTGCAATAGCCTTTTGATTTGAACATTAGTACATTTTTGGTGTGTGTACTAGGCTATTTGATTTAATGTATATATGCTACAGCACTTTGGTTTTACTAATAAATATGTTGAAATGGAACCAAATTAGGCTATATTGTAATTATCTAAGGAGGTGGACTGTAAGAGGGAAATAAGATAGTGTGGTAGAAGGGAAGTAAGGGGTATTTAGCAAGTGAGTTTTTAAGAGGAGATCGGAATGGATTGGAGAATGTATCAGAAATCGAAATCGTGTGAGAGAAGACTGTCTGTGTGAATAGTGTGAATGTGAGAGGTTTGGCTTTGCTCACATTCTATCTACAGAATTTGACTTTTTTGGACTTTGCATTACTTGTGGTGGCTGTCTTATGGAAGTGGTTTTATTGGTGTTTAGTCTATAACTTGGTGTGTTTAGTCTAGAACTTGGTGTGTTTAGTCTAGAACTTGGTGTGTTTAGTCTAGAACTTGGTATGTTTAGTCTAGAACTTGGTATGTTTAGTCTAGAACTTGGTATGTTTAGTCTAGAACTTGGTATGTTTAGTCTAGAACTTGGTATGTTTAGTCTATAACTTGGTGTGTTTAGTCTAGAACTTGGTGTGTTTAGTCTATAACTTGGTATGTTTAGTCTAGAACTTGGTGTTAGTCTAGAACTTGATGCATCGGTGCACAGGTGTTATCTGTATTTCACTTGAGGTTCAATGATTGATGTTTTTATTTACAAATTGTTTTATGCTTCAGTAGGTTTGTGCTGTTGAATTTAAAATTGCGGTGGGGACATACGTTTGTGAACTGCGTATTATATATACTCTAATTATACCATCTGGTTCTTCAATTGATGCAGTGTGCTTGATTGGTGGTGGGTGGCTGTGCTGTGTGTTGATATTGTTATGCAGTGATGTTCCACAGTGAGTCGTTACACACTTTTTGTATACTTGTTGTCATTTCTCAATGGTTTTAAAGTGATGGTGATATTTCACAGGGATCTTAATAATACTGACATTGAAGATGCACAAATAAAGTATTACATTGGCATTGTCCAAACAGTTTGCCTCTGTGTGAATACTGTACAAAGCCTTTTGAAACTAAAGTCAAACCAGTCTGTCTGTCTCTATACAACAACTGTCACGATCGTCTATAACAGGAGACCAAGGCGCAGCGTTGCGAGTGAACATGATGACTTTAATTAGAAAAGCACGTCAATACAAAACAAAAGACGAAAGTGAAGTCCAACAGTAACAAAGACTAAACTTGGAACAAAAACCCACAAACCAAGGAGAAACCACACAGTTTAAATATGGCTCCCAATCAGAGATAACGAGCCGACAGCTGACACTCGTTACCTCCGATTGGGAGTCATATGACTAATCAAGAACAAACACCCAACATAGAAATGAACAACTAGAATCCCCAACATAGAAATACACCCAAACAATGAAAATGAACAACCCTGGCTCAATAATCAAAGTCCATGGAGCCAGAGTGTCACAGTACCCCCCCCTAAAAGTGCGCACTCCGGGCGCACCAGCATACAGTCTAGGGGAGGGTCTGGGTGGGCGTCTGTCCATGGTGGCGGCTCTGGCCCAGGTCGTGGTCCCCACCCCACCTTAGTCACTATCCGCTTCCGTAGCCCCCTCCACCTGACCACCCCCCAATTAAACCCCACTGGATTAAGGGGCGGCACCGGACTAAGGGGCAGCACCGGACTAAGGGGCAGCACCGGACTAAGGGGCAGCACCGGACTAAGGGGCAGCACCGGACTGAATGGCGGATCCTGGCTGGCTGGCTCTGGCGGATCCTGGCTGGACGGCTCTGGCGGATCCTGGCTGGACGGCTCTGGCGGATCCTGGCTGGCGGAAGGCTCTGGCTGATCCTGTCTGGCGGAAGGCTCTGGCTGATCCTGTCTGGCGGAAGGCTCTGGCTGATCCTGTCTGGCGGAAGGCTCTGGCTGATCCTGTCTGGCGGAAGGCTCTGGCTGATCCTGTCTGGCGGAAGGCTCTGGCTGATCCTGTCTGGCGGAAGGCTCTGGCTGATCCTGTCTGGCGGAGAGCTCTAGCGGCTCCGGTCTGGCGGACGGCTCTGAAGGCTCATGGCAGACGGGCGGCTTTGCAGGCTCAGTACAGACGGGCAGTTCCTGCGGCGCTTGGCAGACGGACAGTTCAGACGGCGTTGGGCAGACGGGCAGTTCAGACGGCGTTGGGCAGACGGACAGTTTCAGGCCCCGTTGGGCAGACGGCAGACTCTGGCCGTCTGAGGCGCATCATAGGCCTGGTGCGTGGTGCCGGAACAGGAGGTACCGGGCTGAGGACACGCATCTCAGGGCTAGTGCGGGGAGAAGCAACAGGGCATGCTGGACCCTGGGGACGCACCGTAGGCCTGATGCGTGGTGCCGGAACTGGAGGTACCGGGCTGAGGACACGCATCTCAGGGCTAGTGCGGGAAGCAGCAACAGGGCATGCTTGGCCCTGGGGACGCACCGTAGGCCTGATGCGTGGTGCCGGAACTGGAGGTACCGGGCTGAGGACACGCATCTCAGGGCTAGTGCGGGGAGAAGCAACAGGGCATGCTGGACCCTGGGAACGCACATAAGGGCTAGTGCGGAGAGCCGGAACAGGGCATGCTGGACCCTGGGGACTCACATTAAGCCTAGTGCGGAGAGCAGCAACAGGACGCACAGGACTCGGGAGACACACAGGAGGCTTGGGGCGTGGTGTAGGCACTGGTGGGAAAGGGCTGGCGACGCGCACCGTATCCCTGGTGCGAGTGGCCGGAACAGGCCGGGCTGGGCTGGCGAAGCGCACCGTATCCCTGGTGCGAGTGGCCGGAACAGGCCGGGCCGGGCTGGCGAAGCGCACCGTATCCTTGGTGTGAGGGGTCGTAACAGTACCCCGGGAACTGGAACGGGCCGGACCGGACTGGATACACACCTCAGTCTCTCACGCCGTGCCTCTACATCTCCTTTCCCTACTTTGGCCAGTGACCCCCGTAACCTGGTTGCCTCTTGAATTCGCCCCTTCTCTGCCTCCGTTAGCCCCGTCGTCCAAGCCATGTGCCCCCCCCAAAAAACTTTTTGGGGTTGCCTCTCGTCCTTCCAACGATGATGGCCCTGCTGACGCCGTTGCTCCTCTCTCGCCAGGGCCTTGATCTTCCCCCAAGGTCCCTTGCCCCCGAGCATGTCCTCCCAGGACCACGATTTGCCCACCTGGGCCATCGCCAGCCTCTCGATCTCCTTCCCAGGCGCTTCCTCCCATGTCCAGCTGTCTTGCTCCTGGACACGCTGCTTGGTCCTTCTATGGTGGGTTTTTCTGTCACGATCGTCTATAACAGGAGACCAAGGCGCAGCGTTGCGAGTGAACATGATGACTTTAATTAGAAAAGCACGTCAATACAAAACAAAAGACGAAAGTGAAGTCCAACAGTAACAAAGACTAAACTTGGAACAAAAACCCACAAACCAAGGAGAAACCACACAGTTTAAATATGGCTCCCAATCAGAGATAACGAGCCGACAGCTGACACTCGTTACCTCCGATTGGGAGTCATATGACTAATCAAGAACAAACACCCAACATAGAAATGAACAACTAGAATCCCCAACATAGAAATACACCCAAACAATGAAAATGAACAACCCTGGCTCAATAATCAAAGTCCATGGAGCCAGAGTGTCACAACAACCAACTACAAGGGCAGTTTATGAACACACCTATGCCCAGAGATAGAGCAGAATGTCCTATTTAAGGTGGAAACTTAGATCTGACATTCCAAAGATATGAACACTTACTGCTGAACTCTAACTCTGAGCCCTGACAAACATGTGGTTTCCATATGTTTGATACCATTCCATTTATTCCATTCCAGCCATTACAGTGAGCACGTCCTCCTATATCTCCTCCCACCGGCCTCCACTGCTCTGTGCCCTGACTTTCCAAAGATATGAACACTTACTGCTCAACTGTAACTCTGTGCTCTGAATACACTGTCTATCACACAGGTGAAAGGTGTTCTGATA